CCAATTAAAAAATAGAAATTTTAAAATGACATGTATGAAAATGATGGGTAAATTAGAAAACATTATTACAGAACATTTTAAAAGGCTTGATTAAAGAGATTATGTTTATGGATGGGTGACTCAATATTGTAAAGATGTCAATTCTGCCAAAATTAATCTATAAATTTAATGCAATTTCAATAAAAATCCCAACAGAGTTCTTCATTGAACTTGACAGTGCACAGAGTCCAGAAAAGCTAAGCCAATGCTGAAGAAGAGCAATGTGGGCTTAATAATTAGGACATTTGATATGGGTCAGGGATAATCAAATAGGCCAACGAAACAGAGTACAGAGCCCAGCCACAGACCCATGTGTACATGCAAACCTGACCTGGAAAGAATGCAGAACTACAAATCAGCATGGAGAGGGTGTATTTTCAACCTGTGGTGATGGGACCATTGGCTAGCCATTTGACAATAAGAATCTGGGCTTCCTAACATATACCATACTTCTATCGATTTTAGTTAGATTAAAGATATGTATAAAGAGCAAGATTTTAAGGCTCTACAGAAAAAATAAATTTATGAACTGAGAACAGAAGATAATTTTTTAAACACAACACAAAACCCACATGCTATAAAAAGTATATTTATTTAGTGTAGTCAAACTTATGAATTATACAACTTCTTTTCAAAGAAACCACAATGAAAGTTAAAAAAAAACACAAGTCTTAACGAGGACATAATTTGCAGCTCACAAGATCACCAGCCAGAATTCATCAACAACTCCTATACAACAACATGGAAAAGAAACATCCCGACAGACAGATAAGCAATGGATGTGAGCCAATAAACAAGAAAAGATGTTGGGTATTACTGTAATCGGCAAAAGGCAAAGTAATGTATTCCCCCAGTGGAATAGTACACAGCAGTTAAAATAAACAAAGTAGAGCTATAAATCTTAAAAACATTGAGTGAAAAAGATTTGTAAAAATTGACATAATTTATGCTATGCTTGAAATGAGTGAAAGCATGTTACATAGTTTAAATAAATGCTTACACATATAGTCATGGCCACAAAATCATACTTGGGAATGAAACACCAAGTCTTGGATAGTAGTTACAGTTACAGTGACATATTAAGCCCGATTATACTGGCTTGCCAGAGCCAATTCTGCATATTTATTCCTAATTCCATGTTCAGTGATGTCTTGTTAGGAGCTTGAAATCTGCTGGGGTGGGAGTGTTTGTGCCATAGGAATTGGCAAACACTGTCAATCTCAGGTTCCCCTCCCTTGTCCTCAGCTTGGAGAACTGGTCTACCATCACTGTGCCATTCTCCCCAGAGTGAAATGCAGTGGGGAGGAGTACTCATGGTGCTTCAACATTATTTGTAATGTTGTTACGCTTTATAGAATTTTTAAATTAAATATGGCATGAGGAAAAGCTTTGATAGAGCAGGGATGGTTCATGGGTGTTTATCATAGTATTTTATGCTTTTCTGTATTTTGGAAATATTTCCTGAAAAACAAAATCTAGTCAGTTGAAATGTTCAGGCCAGTATAAAACCATTTCCTTTTTGGCCTCTTTAATTTTACAGATTTAAAACTTGCTTAGTTGGTCACAATAATATTATATGATGTTGAAAAACCTGGACCTGAACTAATAATAGAAACTTTAAAATTATTTCAAACCCCAATCATAGATTTGCTGGGCAGCTATATCTTTGAAATCAATTGATGTGGGGTGGTTTATAATAAAGGATTCATAAGAGGCATTCACATAAAAAGTCACACCCATACTCTTATTTAACCAAATCTAATAGCAAGGACATCTGAGCTCTAAATTTAGACTCCAGATTTAAGAGAAAGAAAAAAGAAGTGAATAGGAACATAATAGTATAGAGAACTCAACTGTAAAAGTTTAAGAAGATATTCTTGAAAATAATAATAATGAAATAATAATAATCTATAATAATAAAAGTGTAATATGCTAATTAGACTAGACATCCTTCCGGACAAAGCCACAGTGGGCAGGGGGGCCGCGTT